ATATTTAAAATACAGATGAGCAAAGAGTATTTCTATGTTTATGTGTATACACGTGTGTGTGTCTGTGTGTATGTGCGTACAGATGCTTGGATATGTTTTTTAATAGAAATGGTGCATTAGTGGGGAATTTTAAAATTTTGAGTGCCTGAACTGTATCATTCAAACTGGGTTAGTCAAGAAAAGAATATTTATTGACTCATAAAACAAACCTAAGAAAAGTCAGGGTTATTTCTGGCCTCAGTGACCAAAGACTCAAGTATTCTCGGGGCTGCCTCCTGGCTTCTGCTCTTTGCTTCCCTCTCTCTGCGTTCACCTCATTCTCTCAGACTGCAGTTCGGCTGGTGGGAAACAAGGCTGCCAGTAGCCTGCAGCTTCACATCTTCCCATTTTCACTTCCAAGAAGGAAAAGGTCTTTTTCCTTTGGTTCTAGCTTAAAAAGTCCCCGGGAAGGTCCCTGACAGGCTCAGCTTGGGTTACTCGCATACTCCCTGACAAATTGTCATGGGCAAGTTGGCCCAGTTCTGTGATTGCCTCAGTGTTGGTCAAGTGCCACCTCTAATCCAAACCCTGTGACAGAGGGACGGTCACGTAATCAGATGGCAGTTCCCATCTGAACCACTGGGTGCTGTTTTCTAAAGAAAGATCGGGTGCTATTGCCCCTAGAAGGATAGTGTGCTGGTAGACAAATGACAGATACTCACTACATACAAATGGGATTATATTTCAGTAACTGTTTTGCAACTCATAAAAAATTTTCATTTTTCCATGTTCTACAACGTAATTTCAGTGATAATAGAATATAATGGCAGAATAGTGTTGTATTCTGGAATGCAAACATGACAACTGGAAACAAACAAACATGACAACGAGGACAAGAGCCACACACTAAGGTTGGCAGAGCAGGAAGAGAGGACGCCTAGATCCTTGATATCATCTCAGAGTCGCTGCACCAGCGCTACACTTCTTGATTTTTGGTTTATTTATTTAGGCCGCACCTCAGGGCATGTGGAACTTCCCTGACCAGGGATGAACTGGCATCCCCTGCACTGGAAGCGCAGAGTCTTAACCACTGGACCGCCAGGGAAGTCCAGCCCTACACTTCTTTTTTTTTTTTTTAATACATTTATTTATTTATGGCTGCGTTGGGTCTTCGTTGCTGCGCATAGGCTTTCTCTAGTTGCGGCGAGCAGGGGCTACTCTTTGTTGCAGTGCACGGGCTTCTCATTGCGGTGGCTTCTTTTGTTGCAGAGCACGGGCTCTAGGTGCGCGGGTTTCAGTAGTTGTGGCACATGGGCTCAGTAGTTGTGGCTCGCAGGCTCTAGAGCACAGGATCAGTAGTTGTGGCGCACGGGCTTAGTTCCTCCGTGGCATGTGGGACTTCCCGGACCAGGGCTCGAACCTGTGTCCCCTGCATTGGCAGGCAGATTCTTAACCACTGCACCACCAGGGAAGTCCTACACTTCTTGATACCTGAGAAAAATAACACCTGATTTGGCTAAACCACAGTGGTCAAGTGCTGTTCCCTATAAATGTACTTCCAGGCAGCCATTAAAAGTAGGCCAGGAAATTTATCATCAGTGAAGGGGGATGGCAGTGATGATAAAAACCCCAGAGAGGTTGAAAGGGAAACCGAAATAATGGAAAGTACAGCCTATTTTTTTTTTTGAACTATTAAAGGAAACTGACCCATAAAACATCCCTGAGTCAACCTGAGGCAGTTACAGCAGGGTGGAAATGGCAGCCACAGCTGAACTGAGCAGAAAGAGGGTTAGAGGTAGTACCCAAGGCTTCTTTGATGCTATGTAGCATGAAGGGTTCCAGAAGTCCCTAAGAGCTCCCAGTGAGAGGGATGGAAGTAGCTGAAGCTGGAGCTAGGAAGCATCCCAAAGCGTCACCATGTGACCCAAGGCTTCTGGGTAGCAGACGAAGAAGGCACCAGAGAAAAAAGACCACCAGGCTTGAATGGGGAAGGAGGGGATGCGACCAGTACAGAGGCCAGAGCAGAGATCTGGTTAGGCGTGAGCTGCACCTCAAGTGGAGTGAGCAGGAGCTGGTGGAGAGAAGATCAGCTGGAGAACCAGTGTCCTTTCTCCTTGCACCTAAATAACATCTTGGGAAGGGAGTAAGTGGAGGGAAGACCTTTGGAAGAGACAGCTCTCAGAGGGAATATGAATTTCAAATTGACTAAGATTTACCCAAAAGTAGACTTTTTTTTTTAACCCAGAAGAGACAGTTAACTGGTAAGCTGAAGATCTGCCCAGTAAAGAGAATCTCCTGAGAAATCTAAGTTCAATTATAGAGATATTTTTAAAATTTTTGTACATTTGGCTCATACTGTATGCATTGTGACTCCCCCCAACCCCAAGTTCCCCATACATATAGATCTCTACTATAAGTTTCCTTAAAGAGGTGTCACAGGAGTTTGACATTATGTCACAAGGAAAATGTCCTAAAATCTGCTTTAGACCTGTGAGAGCCAGCCACAATGACTCTTGCTTCCTAGTGTTCATGTCCTTGTGTAGCCCTCTCCCACACTGTACCAGGGTTGGTCTGTGTGACCAAGAGCATATGGCAGAAGGGGTGGCGTATCCCTACCAAGATTAGGTTCCTATCTCTCGTAGATCACTCACTCTGGGGAAACCAGCTGCCCTGTTATGAAGACAGGCCTGCGTGAGGAAACAGCCATATGAGTGATCTCGGAAGCAGGTCCAGCCCCAGTAGGGCCTTCAGATAACTGCAGTCCCAACTGACATCCAGACTGTAACCTCATGAAAGACCCTCAATTAGAGACACTCAGCTAACCTGACTCACAGAAACTGTAAGATAATAAATGTTTGTTGTTTTAAACTACTAAGTTTAGGGGTAATTTGTTATGCAACAAAAGATAACGAATATACTCCCTCTCATAAAAATTTCAGTTATAGCACCTGCCAAAAATCTTTCTCTTTTCATTCTCCAAGAGGTCCTTTCACAGTTTCGCTCCCCTCCCCCACTTCCTCCTCTCTGCCACATTCTTTTTTTTTTTTTTAATATTTATTTATTTATTTTGGCTTCGGCAGGTCGTAGTTGCGGTACACAGACTTCTTAGTTGTGGCATGCAGACTCCCAGCCGTGGCACGCATGCATACAGAATCTAGTTCCCCGACCAAGCATCGAACCCAGGCCCCCTGTATTGGGAACTCGGAGTCTTACCCACTGGACCACTAAGGAAGTTCCTCTCTGCCACACTCTTAAGCACCCAAATCCCAACAGGTTATGGTCCTTAAAAAAAAAAAGATGTAATAAATAAATAAATAAAATAAAATAAAGATCAAAACAAAACAAAACAAAAACAGGTTATGGTCCTCTCTCCAAGTGGCCACCTGAGGTACATGGTCTTGTTTTCCCTACTGACTTCCTTGTGGAAACCAAGCTTCTCTGCCCGCCTTCCCACCCTTTCCACCTTCTCCCCACACACCTGATAATGGTGAATAAGAGACTGAGGCAAAAGAAATAAGCCAGAGAGAGAGAGAGAGAGAGAGAGAGAGAGAGAGAGAGAGAGAAGGGGCAGGTGATAGGCATCAGCCAGACTCTGTGATTCTTCATTCATCTTCCCTCCACACTCCCTGCTGATTGATTGAAGAACTACAGAATCTCCCCTGATGGCAGAATACCAGAAAGATTTCTGAGAGGCCTAGAGACGCCTTTGATTCTCTAGGGCCTGAGCTATGTTCCAGTCACATGAGGCCTGGAAACCTCTAGGTTTCCTGGACGTTCCTTGCTGTTCCTGCAAAGCAAGACCAGACATTTGTTTATAGTGGACAGAATTCCCTAAACTGCGATTGTGGTTATCTCGCAGATGACTACAATTATATAGCAAATACTAACTGAGACGCCACTGGTTATATAAAAAAAGAAGAAAAGACAAAATATTACTTCGTATTTAGTGTCTTTTATGGTTTATCTCCCCTATTGGACTGTGAGCTTCATGAAAGCAAGGATCATGTGTGATTCCTGTGGGTAACCACAGTGCCCAGAACAGTCTTGAGTACAGAACATTCCCAGTGGATATCTGTTAGAAGATGCACCATACATGTTTGTTGAAGGAATGGTTGAATTGGCATCAAAGGAGTCTTCTGCATTAGCCCATTGGCTGGTAATTCTAAGCTTTTTACAGTTCATCGCAAAATGTACTTTCCTTTTTTCAGTTGGAGTGAATCAAGAGTAGACATGCATGTTTTTTTCATTGTGAGGAAAGGCTTTTATTATTTTTTAGGTTCTGCCCCGGCACCCCCGCAAAGAGAGCCAACACTGGCTCTCACGTAAGATCCAGGAGTCTCTGCAGTTTGGAACCCAACACCACATTTCCTAGAATACCTGACGCCCTCGCAGGCCTCCTCTGGCTATAATGGAAAAGGGATATGCCTGGGGACTGTGCTGGTAATAGAAAGAAGCAGAACGTCTGTTTTCCACTAACGGCTCCTGATTGGGGTTTGTTATGCCCAGTCTGAATTGACCTGGAACTTGGCCGCGGCTCTGGCCGCCCCGGGGTAAGGCGGGGGACCCAGCAGAGGCGGCTGCACCGCAAGGTTATAGCGCTGAGCTGCTCCTCGCTCTGGAAGGTGCCAGAGCGCGGGAGATGCTGTGGTTGGTAAAGGCTGCTCGGCGCTAGTCAGGTGAGGCCTGGAGGTTCGCATCTGCAGATCCATCTTTGGGTGTACAGTCTTTGGATCCTCTTCTCAGCTCTGAAGAGGCGGTTCCAGCGGTCGGGTAGCTCGGGTGAACTGGGTTTAGCCCTTGTCACCGCTCGGAACTGGGCATCCCGGGACTCCCAGTCCTTTGAGGTCTTGCTCAGGACTACATTTCCCAAAAGGCTCCGCGGTGATTGAAAGTTCTATCAGCCTATGGACGGGGCAGAATTCTCGTGCCAGAAACTGAGAAGCCAATGGCAAGAGGACGGGGGCGGTATTTTCCGGCTGCTGGCTGTCTTGTCCAGAGTCCCACCTGTGTCCCCACAGCCCTGTCACGAATCCCAGTCGGGTTCTGGGCGGGACTGCCACGGCGTTGCGGGCCGGGTGCGGCTCGGCGGTGGAGGACTCTCACTTCGTGCTCCATCCCGGGCTGGGCCCCGGGGCGGTGAGTGATCCGGGGAAGGAGACTGCGGCTGCAGCCCGGGCGCTGCTGAGGGGCGTGGATGGGGCTCGCCCGCCGCCCCGGCGTTGTCTCTGCCGGGTCCTCGCGCTCGCCTTTCCGAGCCCGCGGGTCTTGCTGAGGAGTGGGGAGAGGTAGCTGCGCTTTTCTCTGCCGGCGTCAGGATAGCTCATCCTCTTAATTTTTTTGCTCCTCGGTGGTAGTCCTCTGGTTTCAGTTTAGCTTTGCGACCCTTTGACCGCTGCACCTAGATTAGGGCCTACAGCACCGCGAGGGAGGAGAATGGGTGTCGGCCCTACCGGTGCGGTCATGTTCCTATTAATAAACCCAGTGAACAAACTAGTGCTTCTCACAATGGCACTTAGTCACAGCACCTCAGCGGTCTAGGGCCTTTGAGGTCACCTGTACGGGGGTGCAGGAGACCGGGTGGCAGGAGACCGGGTGGGAAACAGGGCTTCTCTAACCTTGGCTGAGAACTCTCCATCCCGCTGTCTCCTGCAGGTGGGCCCTGCTGTTGGGTTTTGTAATGAATGGAGAAATAAAATGTATGCTCAAAACTCATTACAGTTTTCACTTCCTAATGACATTATTTTTGTTTGTTAAGGTTTTAAACCAGAGAGATGAAATGTATTCCCACAGCTTTTAGGCTCCTAAAAACCCAGTACTTTATAAGTGACCGATAGCAATATGTGTGAATGCATAAATGTTTCCATGAAAAGTGTGTGTATTCTAGTAGTGCACAGGTGCTCTGATTGGTGAGACAAAAGATGTGAAAGAGTAAAAGTTCCTCACCCCGGTATGATCCATCCTCCACTGAAATGCAGAATTCTTTGTAGAAGGTTCATCTGTTCAATCAGCTGACTGACAATATTTGTTTTGAGTGGAAACTCTTCAAGGGGGAAAACAAACAAAAAAACAAACATTATCCTATATTACTTTGTGACTCCTAATGCCTAACAGAATATTAATTATTGAATAAATTACTGATCCATCCAGTAACCTGACCATCTCCCCCCAAATAATTTTTTCATGATAGTGATGTTAATTTTATTAATGTGTTAATGATTGTTTTCAGCCCCCAAGCATTTTGTTTTGTGCTTATCGCCATTGAATTTCACTTAATTTTACAGCTTATCCATGTTGTTTTTTAAAATCCATGTCCTTTTAAGTCCCATTTCTGACTGCATTAAACCTTGAAATAGAACGATACCTAGGGCAGTTCCTTTTGGGCTTCTGCATAGTTTGTCCCTTGAAGTTGACACTAAATCTACAAGCCAGGAAAAGTCAGCTATTCTCATAACTAATATGAGTCTAATGAAGTCCGCAATTTCCTACCTAGCTGAGGAAAATGTAGTTGGAGAGAATCCAAAGCTTTCCAGAAATCGAGTTATACCTGTGCACTCTCTCCTCTGTTTATCTTGTCCATCATGGACAATTTGTTCCTCAAAAAGTTAATGTCTCCAAAAGACTGAGGGTTCTGCAGATGTGTTTGGGAGGTCCAGGACTCATTTTGTGATGAGAAAGTTGGCCAAAGGAAAGGTTATGTTAAAACAGAATAAGAAAAGCATCCCTTCTGTGGTTGACAGCATTTACTTCAGAGCTATCTATTCTGGTCAGTTGGGGCCGTAGTGGCTGTATTTCGGTTTTGAGACAATGGTGAGAATATCTAAAGAGCTCTTGATGCATACTGAGGTCTCTTGCTGTAGGAACTGATGATGTGGCTGGGGACTTCAGGGATGAGTGCATTACCTGGACACTGCTTAGAGAGTCCTCTTCAGGGATACCACCCAGCACAGTTAGAAGAATGGGCTCTCAAAGGGTAAGGATGCTACTCTCCTTTATCTTAGATATTTTGAGAGGGCCCAGATCTGAGTGGTCTCTAGGGTTGTTGGTCTCTTAGAGCTTCAGATCTCTATGAGAGTAATTGTTACTTCCCTGGCAGAAAAAGAACGACTTCCATTTTTATGGCACTTAGTAGTTTGCAGATTTATTTGATATTTATTGTCTTACTGCTATCTCACCATAACTCTTTGATGTATTTTCATCCCCCTTTTCCAGCTCAGGATCCTGAGACTCAAAAAGTTAAGTGGCAGAGGTGAGAGTTCAACCCAGGTCTTTGTGGAAAAGGGGGAGCTCTCCCCATGGCTTTTTTCCTGTCACTTAAAAAAAAAAAACCCTCCAGTGCTCTTTCTAAAATACTGTGGCAGGACTTCCCTGGCCATCCAGGGGATAAGACTCCACGCTCCCACTGCAGGGGGCGCCGGTTCAATCCCTGGTTAGGGAACTAAGATCCTGCACGCTGCACCGTGTGGCCAAAAAAAAAACAAAAAAAGGGGGAAAAAAATACCATGGCAATGCCTTCTCCCTGCTTTACTTCATATCTAATACACAAGTGATAGGTACTCACAAAAAAAAGGCAAGCAAAATGAAAACAAAAGTCATCCATCCCACTGCTGAAGAGTTACGATCCTTCCAGCCATTTTCCTAAGCGTATATACAATTAAAAAAAAAAAAAAAGAAAAGAAAAACATTGGGATCATACTGAATATTCAGTTGTAAATCTTACTTTCTTACACATTGTATTGTGAATATATTTTGACAATAAATATCTGTACATTACTTAAAATAACCACTTAGTATTTTGTTTTATGGAATACAGCAATTACATTAAATTGAACCACATATGTGAGCATTTTTTGACCACTTTTTACCTATAAACTGCCAATTTCATATGGCTCAATCAAATGTAATTATTTCTTTGTTGAGGGACATTTAGGTTATTTCAAATTTTCAGCTATATTGTGATGATGATCTCTTAGCTAATTGTCTTTTTGAAAGTATTGTTTATTGAAGCGTAATGAGTTAATAATTAGCTAATATATCTTTTGCACAACTTTCTTTCTTTTTCTTTTTTTTTTTTTTGTTTTACTTTTTTTCATTTCCTTAGAATTCCCAGAATTAGAATTGCTGGGTTTGAGAATAGATTTCTAAGGTATTTGGTGTTTTTGAAAAATGCCTTCCAAAAAGATTGAACCAAGCTATTTATTTCTGTTAGCATTGTATGAAAGTGTCCATTTCTTCATATTCTATCATGGTAGGTATCATAATCTAAGAGTCTGGATAAAATAATAGTGATAGCTAACATTTACTGAGGACTTAATCACTTAATCCTCACGACAACTCTGTAAGGTGGGTTTTATCATTATCCCTAATTTATAGATGAAGACACTGAGACACAGAGAGTTTAAGTAACTTTCCTGAGGTTACACAGCTAGTAAGAGGCAGAGTTAGGATTCAAATTCAGGCAACATGACTCCTGAGTTTGCACTCTTTACCTCTACACTATATTGCCTAAGTGTATCATTGTTTTAATTTGAATTTCTTTGGTTAATGTTGAGGTTAAAAGTTTTCCATATATTTATAAGCTGCTTGTATTTTTTTCTTTTCTGAATTGCCTATTCATGTTCTTTGTCCATTTTTTTGTTTTTGTTTTGTTTTTTTCTTACAAGTGTTTGTCTTTTTCTCATGGCAATACCGACTGCTGCCCTTCTGGGAAAATTTAAAAAGTAAACATGGGGCTTACCTGGTGGCGCAGTGGTTAAGAATCCGCCTGCCAATACAGGGGACACGGGTTCATGCCCTGGTCTGGGAAAATCTCACATGCGGCAGAGCAACTAAGCCCGCAAGCCACAACTATTGAAGCCCACATGCCTAGAGCCTGTGCTCCACAACAAGAGAAGCTACCACAATGAGAAGCCCGCGCACCGCAGCTAGAGAAAGCCTGCGCGCAGCAAAAAAGACCCAACGCAGCCAAAAATAAATAAATATTTTTAAAATAAATAAATAAAAATAAAAAGTAAACATTATAGTTATAGTTAACTTCCTTGATTCTTTCTAAGGGGGAGGTCATGGCAGCTTTGTTTTGATAAAATTTTATCTCCACATGGGCTTCCCTGGTGGCGCGGTGGTTGAAAGTCCGCCTGCCGATGCAGGGGACACAGGTTCGCGTCCTGGTCCGGGAGGATCCCACATGCCGCGGAGCGGCTGGGCCCGTGAGCCATGGCCGCTGAGCCTGCGCGTCCGGAGCCTGTGCTCCACAACGGGAGCGGCCACATCAGTGAGAGGCCCGCGTACCGCAAAAAACAAAACAAAACAAAATTATATCTCCACATGGGTTTAGCCTTGTGCCTTGAGAGATGAGTTATTGTGCTTATTCTAGAATTTCTATCACCCAAGTCTGATTTTTTTTTTAACGGGAGGAAAAGAGCTTTTTCTCAGCCTCTTGGGGAGAGCACCCTTTTTTATCACTTCATCATGGCTGCCCTTTTAAAGAGACTTAACACACATTAGAGTTTCCTGGGGTGTTCTACTCCACCTAGGGAAGAAGGGGGGATTGCATTTTGCTCAGGCCTTGTGTGATGGCTCACATTAACATCCTGTGTTCACCTTCCTTATAGGATTTCTAGACCAAGTGCAATCTCCCAGCTAGAGCAGAAGGAAGAGCCATGGGCCCTACCACTCCAAAATTTTGAGACTAGGAAGATCCTGAGGGAAAGTCACACAGGTGAGATGTGTTACCCAGTGGGCAGAAATCTAGCGTTTCAGCCCTTGTTTAAATGAGGAATTTGGAATGCTGCCCTAGACTTTTGTTCTTACTATTAGAAGGTTAAATTTGACTTCCTGGGCAATCAGTCATTGACCAGATAAAGTCTTCATTTTAAGTAAACATTTCACTTTTGTCTAGACTCTAACATCTTTGAAAGGAGTTGCCCAATTTTGACAAGATATGGTATACTCTTGATATGAAGGTCCCCTCAAGATTCACCTGACCATCTTAAAATAAAAAGGGATTAGGAATTCATATTTTCTGTAAGCTCAATGATCTTCAATAAACTTTTCACAAAGTGAAAACGAGAGTAGTCAAACTAAATGTGGTCTGTTGCAAAAACACTAATTTTTATCTTTCTTGCTTTCTGATGATCTTTCCTGATAAGTGATAACTTTATTCTCTGTTACTTCTGTTAATTTTTCAGACTTTAAGAATCAGGTGGTAAAACTCAATCAGGACATTTCTGAAACAGCAGAACAGTGTGGAACATCCTCAGAAAGGGCCAAGAAAGATATTTCTCATACTCCTCGTTGGGGAGGAAACTGGGAGAGGGGTCTTGAATTAGAAGGACAGCATGGAACCCTTCTAGGAAAGGGCCAGCAGGAGCCCTTTTCACAGGAGAAGGAATTAAACAAGCTCCTGGAAGGATATATAGGAAAGAAGCCGATGTGTGCAGAATGTGGAAAAAGCTTTAACCAGAGTTCCTATCTCATAAGACACCTAAGAACCCATACCGGTGAGAGGCCTTATAAATGCATGGAGTGTGGGAAAGGCTTCAAACAGAGTTCAGACCTTGTCACCCACCACAGAACACACACAGGGGAGAAACCCTACCAATGCCATGGATGTGAGAAAAAATTCAGCGACAGCTCAACCCTCATCAAACATCAGAGAACCCACACAGGTGAGAGACCCCATGAGTGCCCAGAGTGTGGGAAGACTTTCGGACGGAAACCACACCTCATAATGCACCAAAGAACCCACACAGGAGAGAAGCCCTACACGTGCCTCGAGTGTCATAAAAGCTTTAGTCGCAGCTCCAATTTCATCACCCACCAGAGGACCCACACGGGAGTGAAGCCTTACAGGTGTAATGACTGTGGGGAGAGTTTCAGCCAGAGCTCGGATTTGATTAAGCACCAGAGAACCCACACAGGAGAACGGCCCTTTAAGTGCCCGGAGTGCGGGAAGGGCTTTAGAGATAGTTCCCATTTTGTGGCTCACATGAGCACTCACTCAGGAGAAAGGCCGTTCAGTTGTCCTTACTGCCACAAAAGTTTCAGTCAGAGCTCGCATCTGGTCACGCACCAGAGGACACACACAGGTGAGAGGCCTTTTCAGTGTGACAGTTGTGGGAAAGGATTTGCCGACAGCTCTGCCCTCATCAAGCACCAACGGATCCACACAGGAGAAAGACCCTATAAATGTGGCGAGTGTGGGAAGAGCTTCAATCAGAGCTCCCACTTCATTACCCATCAACGAATCCACTTAGGAGACAGACCCTATCGCTGTCCTGAGTGTGACAAAACCTTCAATCAGCGTTCCCATTTTCTCACACACCAGAGAACACATACGGGAGAAAAACCGTTTCACTGTAGTAAATGTGACAAGAGCTTCCGACAGAAGGCACACCTTTTATGCCATCAGAACACACATTTGATCTAGGAGATAGTCTTTAATGGTTCTTCTCCCTTCAAATTTCCATTGCTATTATCTTTAAGCGCTCCAAATAGAGAAAACCTGAAACTGGGTGTTGGCGGCTCAAGTCGGGCCCTGATCTGTTCTCTTTTACCGTGCTTTAATGGCGAGGATAAACCTACAGGGTCCAAATAATGTTCTGAACACAAAAGGCGTTCCTTCAGTGTTTTTGACTGACTCTTAGACAGAAAAATGTGAGTTTAATGCTTGATGCCTGGTTACTAAAAGAGAAGTGAGATAAATGTAGTCACATTCTCATCATTAATGATTCATATTTGATATCTTATACAAAGCCCTTGATACAATGCCTGGCCTTTAAAAGACACTCAGTACAGGGTTGGTTGCTTTTATCAGCCTTATTACTCAATGAGGAATTTATTATTGCAGCCCCACAAGCCCAGAACTTGCAAGAAATTAGACTGGAACTAGAAGATTCGGGGTGTGAACACATAGATTTAATAAAACAGAAAACACTCTCCTAATCCAGTGCTATGCAGTCACCAGATGTCTCATTGCCATGACAAGGCAGAATTATCATAGAGGATGTCTGCAGTCTTGTGACTTGGAGACTAGAAGAATTTTAGAAGCTCTTTGTACAGCTGTGTATGAGGTACTCCCCCTGGAAGTTTGCTGCCATCTGAGGCATAGAAAATATCCTGTGATGAACAGTCCAGAGGAACCTGGATGAGGACTGTAAAATTCTGGAAGCAAAGTTGCTGAGAATGTTAAATGATATTGCAGGGATCCTTCCCGGCATTTAGCTGAAGGATGTAACCCTTGTTTTGTAATTTGCTGGGTCACTGGCCCTTTAGTTGTAAGTTAACGCAAGTCTCTGATCCTTTTAGGGTCATTCATTTTATGCACTAGTATACTCCTCTATTTAATTGAAGAAATGGAGGGAAGGCAGTGTGTTGGAAGGCACACCGACTTCGTTGAGAAGGTGAGGTGTTTGTGTCTTGGCCCCTTGACACCTAATTTGGCCAGACTTTCCCCTTCTCTCAGGCCCTACCCTACTTACCTCACAAGGTTATTGTGAGGATCTGATACATATACACGCACATGCACACACACGCAAGCACTTTGTTGTTAAACTATAAAGTGTAATACCTGTAAAGTTTAATGTTATGGTATTGTTGCCAGTGTCTTTTCTTCCAAGGAGCTGTGGCTAATGTTTCCAAAGGTGTCCCACTTTCATATTGAGGGACTTCTTTTTTTACCTATTGAAAACCTAAGGCCTTCAAATGCTCAACTCATTATGTGACTCATTACGGGTCACGTGATGAACTAACGGAAGAGCCAGGATATCTCTGCAGGTCTCCTCTTCAACAGCATGGAACAGACCAGCTCTGGGATTTGTTAGAGTGTCTCTGAGACACCACAGGCCTGGAGGACCCATATTATATCCATCAAACCACTCTGAATTTGGAAATGATGGAGGGATGTAGCCTACGTGCCCGAGAGCTTTATAGGGTCCTGTGCTGGGGTCCTCGATCCTCATGGCAGATATAAGTGGGTAAGGAGGGAGTTGGGTGTTGAACACTCCAGAGAGAAGAGTGGGGGACTGAAGGTGTTTTCTTTCAAGCTTTCCTGTGTCAATACAGACTAAATTAATACATCAGCCTTGGAACACTAGTTCTCTTCCATTATATGGAGTGCCACCTGAGTGCTGTAACTCATGCGGGGATAGAACTCAGCTGATAACCTAAACTCTTTCTTTAATAGGTAATTATCAGAAAAAAAAAATCTGGGGCTTCCCTGGTGGCGCAGTGGTTGGGAGTCCGCCTGCCGATGTAGGGGACGCAGGTTCGTGCCCCGGTCCGGGAAGATCCCACATGCCGTGGAGTGGCTGGGCCCGTGAGCCATGGCTGCTAAACCTGCACGTCTGGAGCCTGTGCTCCTCAACGGGAGAGGCCACAACGGTGAGAGGCCCACGTACCACAAAAAAAAAAAAAAAAAATCTGGTTAATCCAGAGCTGTAAATTCTTAAAATGTGAGCCCAGACCAGTAGCATTATCATCACCTGGGAACTTGTTAGAAATGCAAATTCTAAGTCCCCACCCCAGACCTACTGAACTGGAAACTCTAGGGGTGGGGTCCAGCAATATGTGTCTTAATAAGCCCTCCAGGTGATTATAATGCATACCCAAGGTTGAGAACCACTGCTTTAAAAGATACCTCTTCTACTGAATGTAGACACAGTACTATTATTGCTCCTACCAAAAATTAACAGTGATTTTGTAATCATCAAATACTCCAGTCAATGTTCACGTTTCCCTAATTATCTTGTGTTTTATTTATTTATTTATTTATTTATTTTTGGCCTTGCCGCATGGTTTGCGGGATCTCAGTTCCCCGACCAGGAATTGAACCTGGGCCACTGCAGTGAAAGTGCCAAGTCCTAACCACTGGACCACCAAGGAATTCCCTGTTTTTATTTTTTAGAGACCAAATAAGGTCTCTACATTCAATTGGTTGATATATTCCTTACAAAATCCTCCCTCTTCTCTCTCTCTCTCACTTTTTCTTGTATTTCATTTGTTGAAAAAAAACCTTGTCCTTTAACTGTCTCCCACAGGTCTGTATTTGGCTAATTCCATCCTATGGGGGTCCTTTAACATGCTCCTCTATCCTCTGCTTTCCTAATATTGGTAGTTGGATCTGTAAACATGATCAGGTTCAGATTTGGGAGAGGGGGGGCAAGAATACTCCATAGCGATCTTATGTAACTTCTATCAAGAGGTACCTGGTGTTTTGTTTTTGTTTTTGTTTTTCTGTCTCTTTTCTTGTGATGTTAGCAACCATCGATAAGCCCTGATTTCACTTCGGTTCGCCAAATGATGATATTTTAAATCTGTCACTCCTTCTTCATTTATTAGCTGAAATACTTCTATAAAGAGAACTACCCCTAATCAACTATTTGGTTTCCCTGAGGTACAGTTTGTATAGGAACAGCACAACAGCTGCTTGATTAGGACTCCTTTGATTTTTTTTTTTAATATCACTATATAAATTTTGGCCTCCATGCCTTAGATTTCGGAGCCCCTTCCAGTGAGAGACTCTTCTCTGACAGGACATTTATACATGCATACAACTCAGAATAACTTTTCTCATGGCCTTTGATGTTTTTCTCCTGCCTACTCCTCTCCAGTTTGTCTAGGTTCGCCAGAAAGCAGTGTGCTAAAGAGCTCACTAAATACTTGAGTGATTCCTCAGGGATGGACTTGCTAAGTTGCCAATTAATATTTCCCGATACTATCCAGGCCTGAAAACAGGAGAGGAAATTACATTCGCATTAGCTGGGAATCGTTTTACGTCCCTTTCATGGTAATATGAGAGTATACCCTCTTCATTTATCTACCCAAGCATTGTTCTAAATCAAATATGATCAGTATGTTAAATAATAACAGCAATAATGTATAACAATCAGATCAGAAGGTAAGGAAAAAAGCTGGCAGGCAGAGGTATGGGGTAATTCATGTGAAATCCAGGGGTACCATCTCTCCAGGGGAGGAAGTGTTTCGGCCTGGGGCGGGGGTACAACAGGGAATGAGAAAGTTCGGACATTCTGAGAATCTGGCACTGGATTAATGTGAAATGTCCTAGAAGAGTGTCCTGCAAGAAGGAGTCAGTTAGAGGACGTGGAGGGACACCAAAGCTGCATTATTAGCACAAGCAGGCATAACCCTCACCCCAGCTAGGAATGTGATGTGTGCTCATGGCCTGTGAGCAACCCTAGATTTAGGAGGCAGGGTGTGGAAGCAGCACAGAACCAAGGGTCTGAAGAGCCAGCCTCTGGTTTTGGTGAGGTTATTTACTAGCCAACTGGTTTTGGACAGGTCAGTTGATCACTCTAGGCTTCAGTCTATCTGAGAAATCAGAAGAAACATCTTTGTCTCTAACACTTTACAAATTTGGGGCTCTCACAGACCCTAGGATCGTCCATGTCGAGAGCAAGCGCTTCCACACGGACACCTTCAAGCTCTGAGGGGATAAAAGCAGGTCGTCGATAGCCTGGCTCCCTCTGTCTCTCCCACTCCTCGGCCCTCCCCAGGCTCCGGCCCCTCCTATGCTGACTTCCTAGTAGTATTTAACAGACAGCTCACTGGCTTATAACGTAAATGGTCTTTTTCTTTCACCCTGTTTCTCATATTGTACAGATGTGTCTACCTTATAAGATGTGAGCTCTTGAGGGGCGATGCATGACTTGCTTTGCGGCTCTGCTACCTGCCCCCTACCCTGCGCCCCCCAGCCGTGAGCAGGGAATACTTAAATGGTATTGGCAAGAGTCAAGATGACTGACTTTTCATAGTTCCCTTTGTTTCTACCCTATGACTGGGTTTCTTGCACATTCTCCACACCTCCTCTCTCCATCACTTCAGAATCCATGTCATCACCAAGCCCTATCAGCTTTACCTCCCAGATTCCTCTCAACCCCATCTGTCAGCCGTCCCATCTCCACCACCAAGCTCTAGTCCCAGGGGACCACCATCTCTCATCTGAATTCCTGCAGTGGCCTCCCAACTGAGGTCGCAGGTTTGATTTGATTTTATATTTTTGTTTTTATGTATTTATGTATGTATGTATGTATGTATGTATTATTTATTTATTTATTTTGCGATACGCAGGCCTCTCACTGTTGTGGCCTCTCCCGTTGCGGAGCACAGGCTCCGGACGCGCAGGCCCAGCGGCCATGGCTCACGGGCCCAGCCGCTCTGCGGCATGTGGGATCTTCCCGGACCGGGACACGAACCCGTGTCCCCTGCATCGGCAGGCGGACTCTCAACCACTGCACCACCAGGGAAGCCCTTATCCTCTTTTATTTTCATCAAAGCCTTTACACCTTCCTGATCTTTTCTTGTTTACTTATTTGTTTTGGTAAACTTCACTGGGGGGAGGGAGCCATTTCTCCTATTTGCCATTCTTTCCCTGGCACCTAAAACAGTGCCTGCTATGTAGTAGGTGCTCAGTAAATGTTCATTGGATGAATTAATGAAGGCATGCTCACAGGCAAGGAACTTGTGCTAGAAAAGCAGCAGTGTGAGACAAAGCAGGACAGGTGAGTGAGGGTCACACCAAGAAGGCTCTTAGTTGCCAAACTGAGTTTGGATATTATTCTCTGGGGAATGGAGTGTCTGTCATTGATGGTTTTCCAATAGAGGAGAAGCATGGTCAGCATTTGAGGAAGTTTGATTTGGCAGCCATGTGTAAGTCATATTCAAGAGAGAAAAATTAAAGACATTGCTTCAATCCATGACATAAAGAGCTTAGTGTCTGGCCCATAGTGAGTCTCCAATAAATGAATGTTATCACCAAGCACTGTGGCAGGCACTGGGAGATACAGAACAAAAAGCCAAGATCAATAAACCTTTCTACCTCAAAAGAATTCTTCCTAAACCCTAGTGTCACATTCCTTCCCTCCCCTTTTTGTCAAACTTTCATTAATATTAATATATATTATATTCTCAGGGCTGTCATGTTTAGGCTCTTTTAATCAGGCTTCCCACCTCCAGCGTGCCTCTGGCTTAGATTTCGCTTTCCCCGTTTCCTGTATTTTGCTGGTGCCAAGTCACGTAGCTTTTGCCTCCACACTGCCCCCACCCCCTTAATTGTAAAAGCACCACGTGCTTTCTGTAAAAATTTCCAAAAACTACAGAAGCGCCCAAAGTAAAAAAATGGAAATGCCTTGTCTTTTCCTCATTCCTTCCCACAACCTCACTCCCCGGATTTCAACTCTGTGATAATCTGGCATCCCAAATCTTGTTCCTAGCTCCTCTTTTCCATCCGCACTCCAGTATCTGAACTAAAGGCATGGTTTTCCACCTCTTCTCTTTGATTTTTCCCTTCAGTTCAGCTTGAAAAACATTTACTGAGTGCTATGTACCAAGTCCTACACCAGACACTGGAAGTACAAAGACAAAACAGTGAAAGAGGTCCACATTTAAAAAGCTGTTGTACTTGGGCAAGTTACTTACTCTCTTTGACACTTACTTCCTTATCTGTAAAATGGGGATAAGCTCAGTACCTTCTTTATGGGGTTGGATGAGGATTAATGAGATGATACAAAGAAAACTCTTTGCATAGTACCTGGTACATTGTATCTGCTCTATAAATGTCAATGACAACAATGATAATGATGATAATCTTTGCCTTGGAGGAGTTTATAGGTTAATGAGGAAACTTGAAGAATAAGAATTACCTAGGTGAAGAAAGATGGGAAAATATTTTTGGAAAAGCAGAGACAAGCAGTTTAAATGAAATTAAAAGGTAAAGTTAGAGAGCTGAAAGAATAAAAAGTAACAGCTTGGACTTATCCTCTAAGAGTATTTCTCAAAACTACCTGCATTAGTCCTACTCGGGGGTGCTTGTTTAAAATGCAGATTTAGTGGCCCCACCTCCCGCAAATGTGGTAAATTCAAACAGTGGAAATGTTGAATACATCAGGACAAATGAACAAGCTACAGTTATAAGCATTAACACAGATACACCTCAATAACTCAATATTAAGCACAAAAAATAAGACACAGAAAATACATACAGTAAATGTCAAAATACAACAAAGACTAAAATAGGCAAAACTAAATACTATATTGCTTAAGTAATAAGGACACACAAACTGTAATGAAAAGAAAAGGATTTATTAATATAAAATTCAGGGTAGAGGTTAACTAGAATGGTGAAGAAGGATGCTAAGTTTCTATTTCTTAAGTTGGGTGCTGAGCATAGAGTTTCTTTTTATTATAATTCTTTAATATGCATTATTTATATACTTTTTA